TTTATTGTTTAAATTGTCAATAAGTATCATTTAACGACTGTATAGTTATATATCCTATAACCCTCAATAATTTACTTGATTATTTCTAATTTTCTGTTAGCATCAAAACATGATGATGAAATAAAATAAAACTGCTTGGCAAGTTCCTAATTCATAGTACAAAATCGTCTTTCAAATAGGCCAAATCAGTAATTTACAACTCTACCAGCCATATATAGAAATTCTCAAGTACCAGTAATTAGTCTTTTAATTCTTTGATACTAGTTCAGTTTTTAAATTTTTGCACTTTTTTGATTACTAACATGGTTGAATATTATTTATTGCTTATCAGACATTTCAATTTTCTTTTTTTATTTGCATAGTCTTATTGACTGTACACTCCAACTACCGATTTGCATACGTTCTTTACATCTTAAGAAGAGTAACCCTTCATCATTAGGTTTATCGCAAATACTTTTCTTTTTTTAATTTTTCAAACTTTACCAATGGAGTTTTTAATGCATAAAGATACATAAAGATTTTTAAAGTCTTATGCAAGCAAATCTACCAATCTTTTCTTTTGTGACTCTTCCCATTGCTTATTATTTTAGGAAGTCTTTTCTCATAGAGAGATCAGAAAAATATTTGCCTGTTTTCTTATTGTTTATTTTATCTTACATTAGCACCACCTAAACTAACATTTCTTTAAATTAAATAATTATTTGTAACAAAGCTAAGCTTTTGTTCTTCATCACAGCATAATTTGCAAATATCGCCATTATTTGTCAGAAACTAACCAAGAAAAAACTAAGTCATTCCCCTAGGAAATCATATGGAAGCATCAAGCTACTGTCAATGGGGTTTTAAGGAGTGTCCAATTCCTTCCTGCCCTGAGTTCATAAAGAACCAATGTAACGGTTTAAGACACAGTCTATCACACAAAGAATTGTGATTTCTCATGGAGCAATAATCTGAGCAAAATTCCTAACTTTATAAAGGAGATGGTAATTGGGATGGGCTCTGTTTTTCTAATGGGCAGATCTGCTGGTTCGGTGTGACAATTTGAATAAAGGAAAGTTTTGAAGGGTTACATATGTTCCTTGAAGAGGAAATTTGATGAGAAGTAGCAGCTTAGTATTTGCTACGAGGTCGCTCAACTTAAAGCAGCTTTCAACATCTTTTGAAGAAACCCCACTTAAAGTTTAGCCGATCAAAGTGGCATAATGCACAGAAGTCCGAATCCCTCGCTGGCCTATCCATTACAGAGGGGCGAGATGCAGAGATTTCAGAACTGAAGGTCAGTGCAGAATCCAAAAGTGAAGTTGTCTGCCCAGTCCTTACCCATCAGAAAGAGAAGGATGCTAACTAAGGCTTCAAACTGACTACCAGAGACCCTGGAAATGGGCCCACGCCGCACGAATCCTAAATCAAATCATCAGAAAACGGTTTTCCCTCCGGCACTAATCAGACCAGAAATGGTTACAGAATAGTGTTTCTCTTCCTCGTTCATGACTTCTCATTCCAAGGAGAAAAAGACTCATGGACATACCATTCATTCAAATTTTTCACTTACTTTGAGACCAAACATTAGGATCCAATCTGGCTTTTTTAATGGAGAAAAAAACCAATTGCTTTCAACCTATTGAAAGCAAGGGGATATGGCCTTAATGATTAGAGAGAATCAAGAGAGTTTAAAATCTAAAAGTGGAGCTGTGGTTAAAAGAAATGTCACTACACGAATAAAGGAGCTTCACATGGAAGACAATGCAGGGCACAAGGAGGCAGATGAGAAAGAAGAGATGGACATGGAGGAGGATCCCTGGAGCGTCTCGCTCACACCATCAATACAACAACCCCAATCTAATTTTCTGTCAATGTGGGAAGAATGCGACTTTGATGATCACTTCACTGCAAAATGTTTGCTTAAGGTGATACCAGTGCAAATTACAATATGTCAGACCCAATGCAAGGCATACATTACACTACAGAAAAGTTCAATTGTCATACATTAATCAAAATATTCTGAAGTGGGATCTTCAGATCTGGGTGCAACAGAGTATGAATACTTCACACTCTGGTCTGTGTAGACTAGTAACATTTGCTAACTATTGTTTTTTACTATCTAGAAAATAATACCTTTGTTTCATTAAAAATCTGGCCCATTGTATAAAACTGTCTCACATTGTTAAAATAAGAATGAGATGAGTAAGGCAACTGCGAATTGCTAAGGATCTTTACTCTTAGGCTAAGTGAGGAAGAGAACCATAAATTACTGGGGGGATACTTTTTCTGGGTCTACAACTAGACTAAATTGACCATTCTCTTCCCTCCAGCTTCCACTCCCAACCTGTAACCCCTTAGGCACACAAGTAATTTTGCTGTAATTTAAGCAGAGCTGGTTGTTTTTTTATGGAAAGTTAAGTGAAAGCACATATGTAGGCATGATCATCTCGCTTAGCTTCTGAGCCAAAAACTTAGCAGAAGTATTTCACCCAGACAAAGGGGGATTGTGGATGCAGATGGGACGGGGAAAGACAATGCAATGCAGTCGTCTTTTAAAGCCTTGTCATCCAGCATCAGCTCCTCAAGGAGAGCTCACACCTCGGGTTCCACTTCTATTCTTAACATGTCTTCAAAGAAGGAAGATCAAATCTGGCACTGTCCAAAGATTCATGCCTATTTTTCTCTTGATCTTCCCCCCCTCAAACTCTCCCTTTGAACAAGATTTGCACATGTAGGATGAATAGAGATTAAGGGCAATTACGGTTTTTGTTTTGGTTTTAATGGTCCATGCAACCCTGAAATTTGCTTGTGAAATCTGTGGCTAATACTGCAGTATTGCCTGTCTCATCTGTCGAGTGCCATATTTCATCGCTTCCAAATGCCATTTCTGGTATTTTCTTTCAACTTCAATCTAAAAGCTTTACTTTTCATGTGCTTTAAGTGCTGGGCACCAAGTATAAGAATTAAAATATCCCAGGGCTTTGAGGGAGAGAAAGCTAAGAGGTCCCCCAGTAAGATCCCCTGCCCACCCAGGATCCTGCTCATTTGAAAAAACAAAGGCAGCAGCAGAGAGAGGAGGAGTCGGGAGCACATTCCTGGGATTTAATAGTGACGCCTCCACAGTGGATGGACTCCTGGCAGGCTGTTATCTTTGTCTCCCTTGTCAGACTCGGGAGGGGAAAGGCCCCCAAAGAATCTATCTCACTGACATAGAAATGGCAGCTGGTACTGTTTCCCTTTAAATAAATGCTTGGTGCTAGTGCTGTCTATATAATCTTCCCTGCAGCTAAAGCCTCGCCAGAACAAAAGGCACGACAGAAAAATTAGGTGCGTGCCAAAGTGTTCTGAAGTGGGAAGGTGTGAGACATTTCCTGGTCCAGGCCTTCAGCCCCCAACACCCGACCCGGGCTCACACCGTTCATTTCCCACGGGGACCGTGGTCGGGTCAATCACCTGCCTTGTTTCTCAATGAACAAATGAGGATTGTTCCCTCTGCTCGCAGTCAGCATGTGAGATCAGGTTCTGAGCCTTCCTTGACAAGCAGATTTTGTGACACAGGAACAAATAAGCAGTTGGAGAGTAAGTAATAAATAACCTCTGTCGAGGTACATTGGTGTGACTATAGCCACGCTTGCACTCAACCTACAATGCCAGGAGCCCACGGAATGTGCCTAGACCCGGAATTAGGAACCCTGGTTTTCTCTGTTAATGTACATAAAGATCTTACTCCACCTTCCCATCACAAAACCATGAAACCATAGTAGTATCAGTCCTCAAATCATTAACTGGTTAGGGATTAAGAGAGGAGAAAATAGCAAGTGAAATCTGAATTCCACAGAGCAATGTATATAAAATATACACAGTCGATGTGTTTGGGTCTAGTGCTAGTATATATAATATATAGATTTATATATTCTTATATATCTACCCACATATGTATGTATTACTATTTTTAATTTTAGGAACAGTTATGAAGTATCTAAAATGCCTATGAAGGTAACACAATGTAAGATAAATGGCCTCTGTTCTCAAAAAGCATGCGACCTGTAGATATATTTATTTGATATGTTTAAATGTACCGATTAGTAATGTGGAATGTCTTCTCTGTCAGACATCGTGCTACTACCTAACAAACCTTATATCTACTGTTGATATGAGCTCTATGAGGGATTATCTATGAGATGGAAGTAGGTTAGTTACAGGAGAGAAGGTAACCCCTCAAGCTCACACAACTAGTGAGCGTTGAGTCCAGTCTGTCAGACTGTGAAGCCTGTGCTCCTTCTGAGCAAGTCATTGCTGGGCAAGGACTATGACGCAAACAAGTCAGTGAGGGCTATGAGGGCGTCATAAGCAAAGCAAAGCCACTGTGCTGGCACTACAGAGGCACGATTTTCTACTGAGAGAGAGAACTAGTGAAGTTTCCTAGGAGAAGGGGCGTTTGAGTTCGACTCAGTTGTGTCACTGGCCACATTCCCATAATTACAGAACTGACTCTGGATGTTGGTCATTAAATCATCACACAATCTGTGAACCATTTCATCATATTTGTTTCAACCCAGGGGGTTCCAACTTTAGCAAACCAGGCCATTTCTAGCCAGGGGGTTTCATTGAGGTTCAGCACCCCTGTCCTCGTGCCCATTGATTGGCTGAGTGATAAGGGGAGGGGTACACTGGGAACAAGTGCACTCCATCAGGAGCCTCCCCTGGGCCCTTGCCTGCATGGTGTTCAATAGGTGTTTACTTCACACAAGCAAGAAGTAAGTGAAAAGGTTCAGCTAATCATCTGTTTGCAAATAAAAATTCTTTGGTGCTAGGCAATCTGAATAACTGCATGATACTTTGAAACTTTTGGCATCTTAATGACTGAATCAAAGATAAGGGCAAGCAATGTGGGTTCTCGGAATCTCCAGGTTAAAATTAAAATGTTCTTTATACCACCAGTTGTGTGATCTTGGGCAAATAAGTTATTCTCCTTAAAAATTAGCTTTTTTAAAAAATAGTGACAAAATACTACTTACCTCAAAGATGTGTTACAAGGACTCAAGAGACCGTATGGTAAACCGTGTTACATAAAATGCTGGCACACGGCAAGCACTGAGCAAACAGAATTAATACATTAGAGTTAGGAAAGTTCCTCTACCTAGTCATTGGGCATGCTTTCCTACATATTCTCAGCCTATTAGCTTTCCTTTATTTAACAACATTTTAAAATGTGTGGAAAGAAGATTATTCTAAGGAAAAGATTAAGTTGTATGATTAAAATATTTGCTTCTATATAAGTTTAAATTTTAAGACACCGTCAAAACTTAGAATTTTCATATATCTTCACTGGTAAATATCTCAGTACTGACCCTCTGCCATGTCCAGACGAGTCCACATCTGCCATGAAAATGTGCCATGTCGCCAACAGGCAAAAGAGCATCGTGATAGCAAAGCTGACAGACAGAGATTACGAGAGACCTGAGAAATTACGCCTCTTCTCTGTCTCTTGCAGAGAGCCTAACAAACCACCTGGAGCTCCCTGGGCCTGAGATTCCACATTTGTAAAATGATGCTGAACTGGAAGGTGTCTGTGGATCCAGTCAAGGTCAAAATACCTACATTCATGTGACTTGGTTACAGGAAAAACAACAAAAAAAAAGATGCTCAGCCCTTCTTCCAATATGGAATAAATAAGTGCATGAAATGTTGGTAGTCTAGACTATTATGGCCATTTGAGAGATAATGAGAGAGAAACTCAGGCACCATGAGATTATGTCAACTGTTTATGGTCCCTTGTGTATTGTCAAACAGTCAAGGAATTAAAGTAGCCACTTTTTAGTGTCCTGATCCTGTTCTCTCCCCACTCCTTTCACATGAGAAAGGTCTTATTTCAAAGTACAATTTGGTTCCATGCCGGCCAATTCTTCACAAACCATTGAGGTAATGTTTATTCAACCTCACACGTTAGCGACTATTTATGAGCAGTGTTTACAAGCTCCAGAGATTGACCCAGCGGTTATTAATGCTACGCAAACCAAAAGCCGTCTAAATTTGTTAATCTAGACAAAACACAGGGGCAACTCCAAACCAACGTGCGATGTTCTGTCTCTGGGTTTATTCGAGTGTAATGCACCTTTAATGTCAACTTAGATTTTTCAACTCTGTCACAAGCCTCACAGTAATTATAGCCAACAGTAAAGTTGAGCTCAGCCACAGAGGCAGCACACAGGAAATTGTGGGGAAATTTTAAAAACAAAACCAAAACAGAGACAAAAACCCCTGTCAATTTTGAGAAAGATTTAGAAAAAAACAAAATTTGCCCCAGTGTAATAAAATGCAAAGACCATGAGGAAGCATATTAGGCCCACTCACCACTTCTCTGGCTGGTAAGGCTTAGTCCCCTCCTGGGCCGGAACCAGCACTCGCGTTAGACGGGCCCCGTTCTCCTGTCCCCTTAGAGCATGTGATTCCATCATCAGCTTATTTTTGGCTCCGCAGTTAATGATCTGTTGGTGCCCACACTTTTCACTTTGTCACAACAACTGGGGCCCGCAGCTGAAGCACAGCTGGCCTCTCATTCGCCCAGGCCTATAATTTAGTTTAACAGCTTTAGGGGCAAGAGGAAATGGCGGAGCGCCCGACAGCCCCCACACTCGCTTCAAAAATTAGTTCCGTCCCATGCTGTATATATACTCGTGAGTATTTTAGGCAAACAGTGTAGGCAGGTCAGGCCCAGATGGGTGCATAGCACTGCTTACTCTGTGCTTCTGGCAGAGGCAGTCAGGTTTCGGGGGGAGAGAAAAATGTGGTCAGAGGATACCTATGAATCAGGGTGTGCGTGTGTGTGTTTGTGAGAGAGAGAGGCGAGAGAGAAAAGCACACCTGCATGGGTCGGTGGGTTGGTGTAATGGGTGTGTGTGTGGTACCTCGAAAAATATGCAAGGCATTTTTTACAAACATGCATATATTCTTCCCTGAAACCTAAGGTTGGAAAAGAATACTATCCTACACTTACGCGGATGCCCTGAAAACAATTGTGGTTACCTCGCAGAGAACACCCGGCCTTGCAGGTGAGTCAGTTCAGCTCTCCAGCTTCACTTTGGAACTTTGTAAATACCCCAGGGGGTGGGCAGATGAGAGAGGGCTTGTGTCAAATGGTGCCTCTGATTCAGCCCCAGGAAATAGTGTCCTCACAAGTGAGAGCATCTCACCTGAAGGCCCATCCGTGCATTCTACATCCGGGATAGTTCTGGGCTTTGAGGTGCTTTGCAGTCTACCCAAAGTATGTGAAATGGACTGGGGCACATCCCCTCTCCACCCTGGGGCCTGGAAACAAAGGGCTGTCAGAATAGAGTGAGAGCTTGAATGGAGTGATGAGCAGGTGCTAGGAGCCATGCAGCTAGAAGACAAGGTGGTTTAGGAGCTAGAGGATGGGGCATGAAGCAGCTGTCCTAGGGAAAGGAAATTTTCAAAGGGCTTTTGGGAATTTTTGCTGTGTCATATGCCATGTTGCTTCTTTCTCTATTTCCCCTTCAGCAATGCCTGGTGGCTTTGGCATTGGATCTTCAGGGGAGCAAATGGACAGAAGGTAGTGGGCAGAGTGCTGGGTCAGCAGGCAGGTGGCCATGGTGCAGAAACCTTCCCAGGGGCCGGCCACACTCAGGTCAAGGAAGATGTGGAGTTTGGAAGCACCAGGATTCTGTGTGATCGGAATCATTCATTCATTCAGCAGGCACTGAGTTGGAGCACAAGGGGACAGTGGAGTCCAGAAAACTAAGATGTCCTCACCCAGCAGTTTATGCTTCAGCAGAGAACATAGAAATTAAGCAACTACACAAATAATTATTCAGTCACAAATGTAGAACTTAAATTCTCCCTTCTCTATGACGTCATTCATTTTTTCCCCTCTACCCTTTCATTCCTACCAGCCTACAAATGTACCATAATTTCTCCCATTTTAAAAAAAATCCACTTTAATCCTGCATCTCCCTCTAGCCATCATAACATTTCTCAGCTTCCCCTTTTGGCCAAGCTATTCACAAGAGTCATCTGTATTTCCTGTCTTCAATATCTGTCCTTCTGTTCCCATCAACCCCACCCCAATCCTTCTGTCTCCTCCACAATTCACTTGAAGCTGTCCTTTCAAGCTCCTCGAGGACATCCACATTGCTTGATCTACTGAGCCATTCTTGGTCCTGAGCTTATCCACATGCAGCTTTTAGGTGAGCATGACATGGTGTTAAAGACCAAGAACTCTGAGCCAGACTGAGTTCCAATCCCAGCTCCAGTAGTGTGAACTATGTGACTGAGTAAGTTCATCTGCAAAATAGACATAATAAAAGAACGTACCTGTTAGGAAGACTATCATGATACAATGAGTTGATGTATGTAAAAGACTCAGAACAGTGACAGGCACATTGTAAACTCTATGTAAGTTATAATACTAATAGCAGTAATTAATAGCATTGGTCACTCCCACGTTCTTCATTTGGCTTCCAGGATACCATACCTGCCTGGCTTTCCTCCTGGCTTTTCATTGGTCTCCTTTGCCAATCTCCTGTCATCTCCCCAATCTAGAGAACTCGGGTGCCCCAAAACTTGGTCTTTGAACATCTCTCCTCCTGGGATTTCATTTAGTCTCATGTCTTCAAGTGCCATCTGAATGTTGACACTCCCAGTTTTGTATCCCCAGTATCAAGTCCCAAGTTGGTCTGATTGCTTTCTAGACCTTTAGGTTTCCTAGGCATCTCAGACTCAGCCTTCTTGCTGTTCTGGACCTCATCAGGCATGCTCTTACCTGGAGAGCACTTTCCCAGATAGCTAAGGGGTTATTTCTTCACTCCTTCCCAGTCTCATTTGTTGCCTTCTCAATGAGGCTTTCTCTGATCATCCCAAAACGCTACCAACTCCATGCCTTATTAACCTCCTCTGCTTTATTTTTTTTTCTCCATTGTATTTACAAGCTCCAAATATACTATAGATCATACATATGTATTTATTGTTCTGTCTTCCCCATGTCTGTTCACTGCTATATCTCTAGCACCTTGATCTTGCATAGTATATAATTAAATGCTGAATAAATATTTATTGAATGAATGAAAATAAAAAGAATGAGAAAATGAACAAATTGGGCCCTGAGGAGGATACCAGGTGCTGTGGGAATCTGTATTGAGGTTCTGACCTCAACTGTGGTGCCAGCAAGGCTTCCCAAGGCAGCAACACTATGCAAAGCAAAAAAGAAAAGAAGTGAGTCAAATGGTACTCCTCAAAATTCTTAAATTCATCAGTGACCTCAGCATCATGGCAGAGTGGGCTGTTCCCCTAGGCTCACCTCCCTAAGATACAATAAAAAGGACATTGATTAACCAACAGAGGACATTCACACAACACAGTAGATGTCTGAGAGATCCACACAGCCATACATCTGAGGGCAGGGGTGCCGGACTTCCTGGGAAGCAGTGGAAAGAGGTAAGTGGATCTCCTCTGCTTCCCCAGTGGCAGCGATCTAGAATGCAGGACCTTGTACAGTGGCTGGCACACAACTCTGAGACAAGAAGAAGGAAAAGGCAGCCTTCTGTGGGACTACTTTTGCCGCCAGAGTGGCTTCTCAGCCCTCAGGTACACTTCACACCTGGGCAAGTAAGCCACCCTGGGGACATCCCCATCAAGCCAAGCATCCCAGGCAGGCAGCCGGGGGGTGCAGAGCAGGAACACAGGCAGGAAACAAGGCACCCCTTTCCCCAATCTCCCTGGTGCATCAGCCCCACCAGTCGGCTAGGGGATCCCCAGCAGAGCACCTGCACTTACATGTGGGAAGCAGCAGTGGCCAGACACAGAGAGCCCTATTGGTAAAACTTCCAACAGATGGGAACAATGGCCAAGGGTCTTGGTGGGCTCAGAAAACACAGTTCGTGCCCCCTCAAGTGGTTGCAGGTGGAATCTGTGACCAGGTACTACCATTATGCCAAGGCAAAAGTCCACCCCATCAAACAGCATGAAGAAATATATTAACACTCCACATCAGAAGGACAATGACAAGTACTCAGAAACGAATCCTGAAGTCAGAGAAATTTACAATCTAAATGGCAGAGAATTCAAAAGAGTTATCATAAAGAAACTCAATGAGTTACAAGAAATCTCAGAAAGACAGTTCAATGAACTCAGGAATAAAATTAATGAGCAGAGGGAATTTTTCACAAAAGAGATTGAAACTATAAAAAAAAAAACCCGGAAATGTTGGAGTTGAAGAATACAATGAATGAGACCTTTTTAAAAATCCAGAATCCTTAAAAAACAGAGCTGATATTATGGAGGACAGAATTAGTAATTTAGAGGACAGAAATATAGAAATGCTTCAGGTGGAGAAGGAGAGAGATCTAAGATTAAAAAGAAATAAGAAATTCTCTGAGAAATATCCAACTCAATTAGGAAATGTAACATAAGCTTTATAGGTATGCCAGAGCAAGCAGAGAAGAAGAAAGGAGTAGAGAGCTTGTTCAAAGAAATAATAGCTGAGAACTTCCCTAACATAGGGAAGGAGCTAGAATTACATGTAAATGAAGCTAGTAAAACTCCTAACTACATCAATGTAAAAAGACCTTCTCCAAGGCATACATTAGTAAAACTGGCAAAAGTCAATGACAAAGAAATACTATTAAGGACAGAAAGGCAGAAGAAAATAACCTACAAAGGAACCCCTATCAGGCTTTCAGTAGATTTCTCAGCAGAAACCTTACAGGCTAGGAGAGAGTGGAATGATATATTCAAAATAATGAAAGACAAAAACTTACAGTGAAGAATACTCTATCCTGTGAAACTATCCTTCAGATACAATGGAGAAATAAAAACTTTCCCAGATAAACAAATGCTGAGGAAGTTCATCACCACAAGACCCTGCCCTACAAGAAATGATCAGAAGACCCTCATACCTGAAAAAAAGAAAGAAAGGGTTTACAAAGCCTTGAGTGAGGAGATAGACAGACAAAATCAGAAAACTGCAGCTCTCTATCAGAACAGGTTAGCAAACACTTTATTATAACATTAAAGACAAAGGGAAGAAAGCATCAAAAATAACTATAATCACTTCATTTTAATCACAATCACAAACTCACAACACAAAAAGGGATAAGGTGTGACAACAATAACTTAGATGGGGAAAAGGTAAGAGATGGAACCTGCTTAGACTAAGGAGATGAGACTGTCAGAAAATGGATTATCTCGTCTATGAGATCTTTTATACAAACCTCATAAGGAACCACTAAACAAAAAATCAGAACAGAGACACAAATGATAAATAAAGAGAAATTCATTATAGAGAATCACCAAATTAAATTGTCAGTCGGAAATACATGGGATGAGAAACAAGGGAAATATATAACAACCAGAAAAAAAGAGATATAATGACAGTATTAAGCCCTCATATATCAATAATATTTCTAAATGTAAATGGATTGAATTCTCCAATCAAAAAACACAGAGTGGCTGGATGGGTTAAAAAACAACACCCAACAATATTCTGCCTCCAGGAAATACATGTCAGCTCTAAAGACAAATGCAGGGTCAGACAGAAGGGATGGAAGAAAATACTCCAAGCTAATGGCAAACAAAAGAGAGCAGGTGTTGCCATATTTACATCAAACAAAGTAGACTTCAAGATAAAAAAAGTCAATGAGAG